TGATCCTGAATCAAAACAGAAGGCTAAGGAGTGGTGTGAACCCGGCTCTTCGGCGCCGAAACGATTTCGTGTGCAAAAATCAGCCAAGAAGGGGTTAGCATCAGTTTTTTGGGATGGAAAAGGAATTTTGTTTATAGATTACCTTCAAACTGGCAAAACAATTAATTTGTATTATTATTGTAACCTTTTGAATCGATTAGACGAAAAAATTCGTGAAAGAAGACCCGGATTGCAGAAGAAAATCATTTTCCACCAAGATAGCACACCTGCGCACACATCTCAAAAAACCATTGCTAAAATAACTGAATTGAAGTACAAATTGTTGCAACATCCAGCCTATTCGCCAGATTTAGCTCCCTCCGACTTCTGGCTCTTCCCACACCTCAAACAATATCTCCGTAGAAAACGATTTTCTTCAAACAAAGAGGTAATAGCTGCCGTGCAGGGATATTTTGCAGAGCTGCCGAAAAACCACTACAGTCAAGGGATCCATAAATTAGAATTAGTTGGAATAACTGTATTGAAGTTGAGGGAAACTACATTGAAAAATAAAGTCATTTTTACAAATAAAAATTGGTTTCTTCATTTCCGTTTCGCGAACTTATTGAACAACCTGGTAGTTTTTAAAAAATTAGCTCTCAAAATTTTAGCTCCTCAATGTTAATTGAGTTTGGTATATATTTATTAATCTCTATTTTTTTTAAACTTTTTTTATTCTTCCTTTCTTATTTCGAAATTTAGGTTCATTCCAAATAAAATTCACCCATTTTTTTATGATTTTTTTAAATTTGTATTTTTAAATAATTTTTATAAATTTTTGAAAAAAATGTTTTGAATTATAATCTATAAAAATTTTACCATCTTCTTTAAGTAGATGTATTTCTAAGCATACCTGCAAAAAATAAGTTTTTTTATTAAAAATTTCCAAAGATATATGTGAATTTATATATTGGCCAGTTTTGAAATTTGGATATTTGTTGAAAGCGATAAAACATCAAATGTAGTTTAGACACTTTGCTAAAATTATTTGGAAGTAGAAACAATGTGACTTTTTTTCTGCTCATGCACAATGTAAAAAGTTAGGAATAAGGTGCCTTTTTCCCACTCCGGTGTAATGGAAGGGAAAGGAAAATTGGTTGCCACATATTAAGAAGTTTGTCAAGTGAAATTGTTCTTGGCGCAAACTGAAAAAATTTCACAAAGATAAATTTTTGAAATTCTTTGTAAATTTCGCACCAAATTTTTCAAAATTTAATATCTAGGCATAATATAAGTCATAGAATCAAAATATGGAAAAAAATTGGCATGTTATTTCAGAAAAAGTCCAATTTTTGTGTCAAAATACCTATGTTAGAGCAGTGCTATATATAAATCTAATATATATCCTAAATTGTGCTTTCGAGACATGAAAAACTTAATTTGAATTTTGTCAATTAGCCCAGTAGAACGGGAGATATAAAACTGTCCCCCCCTTTTTTTTTGGCGCAGTGTACTTAGTCGAGAGATTGACAAGTTAGATAAAACACCCAGAAACTAGTGGGAATACTGGTTTGCTTGTTGAAACAAATTTCTGATTGTTAGAAAAGATGCTTAAAGAGAAGGAAATTGATATAAATTAGCCAGAATGTCTGGAAAGGCTTCAAATTAAAAGGATGCACAAATATTTTGTTGAGTTGCTACAAAATGTAAATGTTTTATAGCTTTTAATGTTTAGTTATTGGTACAAAATGTCCAGCTGCTGTAAGATAGCTTTCGCACAAGGAAGGTTTAGGGTTGGCGACAAAATTAGCAATATGCCATAGACTGTTGCAGAACCTTCTAAAATGAATTCTTCCTGGTTTAGCCCAGAATGTTCTGGAACACAAGCCAAAAACTATATAAACCCTGCTGGTACGCGGAGAGTCAACCTGTGTGGAGTCGATCGAGTTGATAGTTAGTCAACAAGCGAGTGTCACGTAGTCTAGTGCCAAGTTGGTTGTCACATGCACCAAGAGAGTATATTAGTGTATTGAGAGTTAGTGTGTCGTCAAGTTTTATCTTACAGTGTGTGTTGAGCTCCAGGAACGACTAAACCGAGTCAGGAGCTGTACTTTAGTGTATCGTCGAGTGCATTGCAAGTTATAGTGTATAGAGTCTTAAGAGTACGTAGAGTTCCGAGAAAGACCAAGCAGTGTTCGGAGCTGTACTCTGGTGCTGTGCCGTTAAGCTGTCTTTACCGTTCTAACCTGACAGCGGAGAGTCTTGAGAGTACATGAAGTTCCAAGAATGATTGAACCAAGTCGAGAGCCGTACTCTGGTGCCGTGAAGCTGCATTTACCATTATAGCCTGATAGTATGAAGGCTGTGTGGCTGTTTCAGCATGCTTATAGTAGTTCTTTGTCGACTGTAAAACATGATATTGGATATGTCTTGAATAATACTGGCTAATAAATTGTGTTTCGATACTTCATCAAGTGTCGTCGTTATTCACTCTAAATCCATGAACCCTTAACATACGTAAAGAAAGAAAAATGTAACAGTATCTTAATTTTGTTTAACAATCAATGTCATAAATTACATGTATTTTAAACTGTTCCATGTTAATAGATTGTGATTTTAAAAGTGCTTTTTTAACAAATAGTTTTAAAAAATAAATTTAATACTGGCCATGTAAATCTTTAACAACTAAGGATATATATCTAGCTAATTTAATTATTTGTAATTACCTGATCACCCTTAAAAGTTATCTCTGCACATTAAAGCAAGTTATTGCCTTTCATTAATCTTTACCGTAGTCACAAGGTAGCATAAAAATGTAAAACGTAATTCTTTGCATATAGTGAGACTAAAAATGCTGCAAAATGTCTGATCACCTCTCATGCTTCAGTGGCTTATTGGAACCTTAAAATACGTTAACTGGGTTACAACCCCAGGAACTCTACATGAAGTTATGACACTAACTGTGACAGACAGGCAGAGCACAACTAACTTTCAAAACTTGCCGACCGTGCCTACATCAGGCTTTCAAGTTTGTTCTGATCAGAAGGCTTTTCTCTAAGCAAGAGCAGCGGTGGCAACAGCCAGTCTACTGTAATGAATCATGCTGGAAAAAACAACAACGTAAAGCTAACTGTTAATAAAATATGAATAAAATGTCACTAATCTTCTTTCAAGTATATGCAACTGTGTCCAACTATTACAAGGGTAAAATATTTAATACTACCTGATAAATTTTATAAAGTTGATTTTCAAATTTGTTTTATAATTATGTTTATTAAATTATGTTTAATAATAATGTATTCTACTGGTGCTATTTTATTTAGGATGGTATCACGAATTTATTGTTGATGGGTCCTTAATTTTTTCATTAATGGTCCTTCAAAGTACTTAATTTCCATGTTCAGAAATGTATGCGAACCCTGTAAAGGCATATCGCTAAAAATTTGCATTGTTTGAAACACAAATATCATTAACCCTTTAAAGCATGGTCCATCCCCCAGAAAAACTGGTAAAAGTGGTCAAGTTTTTTTTTTTTTTTTTTTTTTTTTTTTTTTTTTTTTTGGTGATGCAGCATTTGGTTGATTTTTACAAATGTGATACTAATTTCTTGCTACAGCCAAAATCTCATCATCATTACCTTCAAATTCACTTCCATCATTCAAGAGATCATCACTTTCATTGCTGAAACTCTCTGATAAATGTGCATATTCAAAATCATCAGAATCGCTCATTATCAGATAACTTATTCTAAACAAGTTCGAAGAGCACTTGGCAAAAATTAATTTTTGGTTTACTTTTATGTTAATTAATGCAATGAAAATGGATATATTACCTTTTCCGCACCTAACAACTGCTTTAAAACAAAGAATTCCTAACAAATTATAGCTAATCATCAAAATGCACCAAGTAGTTTACATGAGAATAATGCTGCAGGGAGGCGCCACGTATGGTAAATATATTTAATTATAATCTAGCCTATCTATTTTGACTAGAACAGATCTCAGATGGTCATTAGAAATAAAATAATGCAAGGTACAAGATCGCCGTGTGAGACTCGGGCATGTGCAAATTTGCCAGTAACTTTTGCACGTGTCAGACACATGAATAAATACAATAAGGAGTTAAGTAACTTTGGCCATTTTCCATGCTGCAAAAAATTTCAAATATTAGCGAAATTTCCTTTTCCAAAAAATTCATGCAGAATATATTTTCTGAACTTATATTAGTAGCATTTTGTGGATTTTGACGCAAATGCAGAATATTTTTTCCATTTTTCAAAATTCATTTGACTATAACTGGAAGTGATCGATTTGCAGAATGATATGTTAAAAATGTTGTGTAAAGAAAAGGATCTAACTTCTAAAAGATATTGATATCTTTTGGAAGATAAATACACTCAATTAGAATAATATGAACAAGGATAGATATCTGTATTTGTGAGTACTTACCAATACAAAAATACATTTTTGAAATGAAGTATGTAAAGTTTCAGGTCAGATCATTATTAACAGATGACCATTTTCAAAAAAACTTTCATGGTAGGAACTACAAAGAACTCCAGTGTGATAAAATATTGTCTCAGGGGGAAAAAAACCATTACATTGTTTGCATTAGAATCTTTAATCTATTAATTTTTAATCTATTACATTTACATATTAAAACATTATCTATTTAATGATAATGTTTTTAATACGTAAATGTAAATATTTTTTTATTTTCCTCTATGAGAAAATTACCCATTCATATCTTCATGTTTTCTACTCAGCCCTCCCAGCCTAAAATGTTTACAATCTAGCCCTTTCTTAAAAAATTTGAGTTCTAGAATGTGAAACTAATCCCATTCCTTTTTTTTTTTTTTTCTTTTTTTCTAAATTTTTTTCATGCAAAGAAGAAAATCTGATCTATTTTTTAAATGTTTCAAATTTCATTAAACTTTTTTTTATCATGCACCTAAGAAAAAAATGCCAAATTGTCTTCAAAAATTCTGAAATAAAATTTTGCTTTTATATTCTTATTTATAGATGAATCTTTTAAAATCTTCATTACCTGAAGGGATCATAGTAAAAAGTTTTGAAGACAGAATTGTAAGTATTTTTCTTTTTATAGTTTTAAGCTAGAGAAAAAAATCTTTTGTTTATTGCAAACTAATTATATTTTTCAACTGTTTAAAAACAGGATCTGTATTCTGTTATGATAAAAGGGCCAAAGCGAACACCCTATGAGGATGGATTGTTCTTTTTTGACTTCCAGTTTCCAGCAGACTATCCCAAAGTGCCACCACTCTGCCATTACATTTCATACTGTTCTGATCGCCTCAATCCTAATTTGTATGAAGGTGGCAAGGTGTGTGTAAGTTTGCTTGGAACTTGGGGTGGAAAGGTATGCTTGAATCTTTTTTTCAAATGTATATGAATTAAATAATAATTTAATTAACGCTTAGAAGACTCTGCAGCTCTGACGACAGAAATGGCCGGAGCTGCAGAATCTCAAAAAGATGACTGTGGCCGAAATTTCGGCCAGAGAAATTTTTTTTCCTCCACCATTTAGGGTACGGAAAAAGTCATTGTGCGATAATCTTCCTCTGCCACTTGTCTGATGACATTCACACCCCACAACTATGGGGTTTCATAAATCCCCTTTCATTTTCCCTCAACAGTGCAATGTTAGTTCAAGGCAAAAACTTTCAGTTATGTTTTGCAAGATAAACTTGCCCTCTAGAATTCTGCATAAGTAACCTAACCGTACTGATATGCATATATGTATGATATATACATATGCAAATGAGGTATGCATGCATATGCAGCAGAAACAGCAATGTGTAGCATGTATGTATGCTAATTGTGTACGTGTATGCAAACAGATATATGCATATTATATGCGCATGCAGATAAAAGCGTACACATGTACCTATGTGTAAATGCTATGCATATATGATAACTGTGTGTATATATAGACATATCTATATATCTGTATGTATACTTATATTTGAAAATCACAGATTTAAGTTTAAGTATTATATTAATTTATATTTTTTTTTCACATTCGGCATAGAAGTTTTATTCAAAAATACAAAGACAGGAAACTCAATAATATTCCAATTACTGATGATTTTATGGAAAGAGACTAATTCCCTTCATAAAGTCAGGACATTCTGTGAGATCATCAGTATTTCTCTTATATATTTGCTTTCTGTATTTCTTTTGTTATAAATATTTGCAAATCCAAAATGTGGCAAGAAAGCAAAATGTGGGAAAATGCATTATATGGCAGTTTTCAAAGCATTTACTAAGATTTAACTTTTAAAAAAATATCTCATTAAATTAGCATTTACTCTTTGTTTTCTAGATGATAACCAAAATAAGAGTTAATAATTAAAATATAAATACATATGTTTCCTTTTGCTTATTTGAAGCAAAAGGAAACTTCTTTCATATAAAAAATTGTACCCATTTTGTTAACAGTCAAGTCATACCTTCGGTTAATTGAATATCACCTAATGGCATGTCAGTGAAGTCGATATATGCTGATGATTCTGTCAAAGGTTCTATTCTCTGCTGAAGCAAAGTAAAGCTCCTTTTTTTCTCCTTCACATACACATGTACAATGAGCATATGGGCCAATTTCATGCAGAAAGTCCTTAACAAAGGCCCATCAGAAGCTAAGCGATAAAAGCCGCTGAACACTGGTAGTTCTGTCTGATATTTCAGACTCGGCAAATGGGCTGGTTGCATGGGCGTTTTTGAGGTTTTTCCGCATGTGTTGTATCTTGCATATGAGGCAATTCCCCTTAAAACATCTTCCATGCAGTGTCCTTCCCTTTCCGTGTAGTGCCTAATGGTGGAGCACATAATAAATAAATAATAATAAATATATTCCTTAATGATGTTATTTTTCCATATAGGCAAACAACATTAGTATAATTTTATATAATTATACAGTCTAATTCATCTATATTATGTAATTTATCGTATTTCATATTTTACCGAGAGACTGAATTACTTTTTGGCATAAGCCTTTTTTTAATGAAGAATAAAATTTTCATCACTGTGGTGAAGTAATAATGAGAAATGCTATTTTAATAACATTTGTAATTTCAGTATTCCTCACATTCTTGTGCATAATGAAAATGCGAGTTAAATTCCTGCAAAAGTGAGCTACATAATAGCATCTATATTTTGAGAGGATAATTATCTGTTTATGACAATTCTACTCTTTATACACACATATAAATAAAAGTCCGAATATTTGGATTATGGCCAAGGTACAAAGGGCTGTCTGCCCAAGGAAGAAGGATCTTCCTGGAGGACTTTTTAAGGGAAATTTGTTGGTACTCATGTTACACAACTCCACATATAGCCAGCTACTTCACCGAAATGTGAACCGAACCTAGCTATCAGTGTTCATCGATTTTACCGCTCAACCTCTGGTTGGTCTGTATAAATAAAGTTAATAAATCCACATGAAATTTTATGGTATTAGTATTAATTTCGCCAAATTTTCAGTGTTATCAAAAATGTATTTTTTTCTTCTTATTTCACCTTTTTATTGTAATTTTCATATTTAGTATTACCGTTTGAAACATGCAAAATGCAATGCAATGAAAATATAATCAATTAAATCCTTTTTTATAGTAAAGAACAATATTAAAAATTATTAAAAAAACACACTAAAGCAGAAAAAAGGAGCTTTTATCACAAAAATGCAAGAAAAAACAATGAACAACAATGTAATTGAAAGATGAAATACTTAGGATATAATTGGGGGAGGGAAAATCAGTAAATTGTGGAAAAAAAAAAAAAAAAAAAAAAGAGAACTGTGTAAAGATACTAATGAGAAATGTAAACAAAACTAATATCACAAAAATGCAAGAGGATTTGTTGAATATATAAATATAAGCTGCTACACAATGTTTGTAACAAAATGCATGTGAATTGCCAATTTATGTGAGAAACAAATAGTAGTACATAATTTTCGAATATAAATTAAAACTATTAATCAGTATATGTAATTCTAGACTAAATTCAGTGTGAAAAAAAATGAAAACTGATTAGACTATGCACTAATTTTAGGTGTACCTAGGAGGTATTTTCTGCTAAGGATGATATAGTACAGTCAAGTCTTTAATCCGGACGATTCCGGATTATAGATCATTAGTTTAAATCTGGTAAGATGGCATGCAGAAATTATAAAATTAAAAATATGAAACAGTAATTTATGAAATAAAGAGCAATTATGATCTAAAGGGTATCAAAATTTACAAAAATAAAAAGCTTAATATTTATTTGTTTATTTTATTAAACATTTCTTTCAAGGCACGCATGCGTAAAGCATACATTACGCATAGTCAAAATTAGAAAATTGCAACCAGAAAACTATTTGATGTGATGATATTTATAATGATGAGGAATTTGATTTAAATCATATCAAAGACGGAATACATTGAGATGAAATACTGCATTTAGTAAGGAATTATAAGCTGAATAAAATAAAAACATCTGCCCTGAAGATAAGGATAGTGCTGACAGATCAAATTCCATTTTATTGCTCGCCGTGATGTCCCCCCCCTCCCCGCAGAGCAGCGTGAAATTGATAAACAGCTTTCGGAATGGTTAGAGAAACAAAGGATATGCCTTTATCCATTTTTTGCAGCAATTCCACTTTTTGTTTGATGGACATCGAAACATACTTTCGCTTTCTACAGGGTTGCCACGCTACCTGGAAAACCGGGAGAACCGGGAAAAGTCAGGGAATTCGAAAATTGACCAAAATATTCAGGGAAAAGTCAGGGAATTTAAGTATTTTTGTCAAAATCTGGAAAAGTCAGGGAAGTTCATACAACGATCCCGCCAAAAAAAGCGATTTTTGCGCCGACGTCGGAAGAGATAACTTTTTTGGCGAATTATGTATCACGTGAGTGTCATTCGGGTAGCTGGCATAGAGCCAATTTTCGCAGCTCCAATTTGATTGTCTTTTAGAAAGGCAAAGCAACTTTCCCGCAACTTTTGGTTTCCAGTGTTCTCGAGAATCGCATGTGCAGTGCATGAACTAAAGAAAGTACCTGTTCTCGTATAAAACAAAATGGGTTTAATCCTAGTATACGGTACCATGGAGGTTAGAATCAAAGAATATGTATTGTAAAGAAGGAAAACCTCTCTGCAACAGACGTGGCTGTGGCTCCGTTCCATCATAGAGGGAAACAGCTGTGCATGTCTGATATATCTGTCACCAAAGCTCGAAACCGGTGTCGAAGTTCGAAGGTCACGTTATCAAGAGTTCATAAATGAATATCGTTTAAAATTTCTTTAACCACTTGCGCTAAAAAGACGTGCCACGCACGTCAAGATGCTTTTGTCTCAAACCGCGAGCGACGTGAACACCACGTCGATAAGCATTTATCGCAAAAATGAAAATAACGTGGTGCACACATGTCGCCTAACAACGAGATTGTTTATTTCTCGAGTTACAGCTCTGGATTGCACTCGCAGATGCGGAGCGGCGTAAATGAAACACTTTACCGCTTGTTATATTGTAGCGCACGGCACCGCAACCGTGAAGTTTAGTCTTAGCGCAAGTGGTTAAACTCTAAAGGAAAAGAAAATATTTTTTGGCGCAAGTAAATTAATTCATGGATTAGTTATTTTCAGAGAAAAAAAAAAAAAAAAAAAAAAAAAAAAAAAAAAAAAAAAAAAAACTACGAAAATCCGTTTTTAAAATTATTGCGAAAAATCCAAGAAGAAACGTCCTTTGATAAAACGTTTCTTGGATTTTTCGCAATAATTTAAAAACGGATTTTCGTAGTTTTCTTTTTGTCAAAGAGCGTTTCTTCTTAACACGTGTTTTTCTCAATTTCCTGTACACATCGCGGAGAGGGAAATTCTGACCGCCAGGTTCCGTCGCCAAATCCCTTGGCAAATTTTCCCTCCGCATTCTAGCGGCGTTTACTTGTATAGAACCTTTTCTTCTTTACATAGACGTTCTTTGGTTAGAATAATAATGGGATTTGGCGACATCTTGATGCGCAGTAAACGGGTCATTTTGGTCTTGGCGACAATTTTCAAAATCGTGCCAAAGCCTTACCGTATACTAGAATTTTACCGCAAAATCTTTTTTAACCCCTTTTTTTTTTTTCTTTTTAATAAATACCTTGCCATTTTGCAGTAAAATAAAAAAATAGTAATCAGTCATCTAGGCTAGCCATGTAATATAACTATATTCGCTAAAATATAGATGATTATTCTAATTCAATTTTTAAGTAATATTTTTATGTTATTCATATAATTTAATGTTGCTTCTTCCCTCTAAATTTATTTATTATTAGTAAATAATATTTCCAAATTTCAGGAAATTTTCTCTGGCATAATCCTGAAATTAATTATAGCTAGCAGTATGATGACATACCATCACGAAATTTAATGCACACATATTTTTTCCTTATGTATGCTGCAAAATAAATATAAAATACCTCAATATATTAAAATATAGATTTCTTTGTTTTTTTTTTCGTTTAGCTGCAGAATGTCTGCAAAAAAAAGCCTTATTTATTCCAGATTGGGAAGATTCTAATCTCAGTCTTCAGTGGAGAAAACAACAACTATTATAATTATATTTGTGTTTTCAAGTGTTAAGGTTTTAAGAACATACCTCACGCAAATTAAATTTACCTAAAATCTAACCTAACTATTTAGCATTGCGTTGTGATTTATAAGGACCGGATTAGCCTCGTGTTGAACTGGTGATGATCATGAGTAATAATTAAATAAAACATACATTTGTTATCCAATATATATATCTTAAATTTTATTAAATTTCTTAAGTGGAAAACTAAACAAAATTATCAAACAAAGTATACCAAGAATAATTAAGAATAAATGTCCTCTGGGATTTATTGAATAATTAAGGGAGTTTGCTACACAATACAAGTAATACCATAATTAATTTACCTCTTAGCACAGCCAACGTATATTACGCGGATAGACTGGAATTTTCTTGAAACACACCTGGAAAACCTGGAAAAGTCAGGGAATTTCATTCTCCTGTTTGAGTGGCAACCCTGTTTATAAATCCTTTACATATTAGTAAATATATATCGGAAATTCTATTTGTCATAAATTCGAATTGCCGGATCCAATTCGAAGATTAAGGAACAACGCATTCTGCAAACATTAACTGAAATAGATAATTAGATAATTTTAGCTTAGTTTATACCGTCCGTTATACATTAAACACGCATGCATCAACATATTATGTGCATGCGCACATGCGTAAAAGTATTACGCACATGCATAAACGCTTATGCGCATGCGTGAACGCATTATGCGTTGACGCATGCGAAAGTTTGTAGCTTTGAGGTCCGGATTATGGGTGTCCAGATTAGCGACTTTTGACTGTATATCTTACTGCTTTATATGACTTTAGATAATCATTCACTATTTCTTTCATGGTTTTTTGTCTTACATTTAGCCACATTCAGCTGCTAATCACATTTCTGATCTAGAAAAAGCTTTTATTTCTATTTCGTTCAGTTCTCTCTTAACATCATATATACCAATGTCCAAATTATCTAACTGTAATGAATAAGTGGAGAATAGTCTGTCTGTAATTTGAGGGACATCATCACAATTCCACAGTATGTGCTAATAATATATTTTTTGGCAAATCTTCTCTTCTATTTTACTGCTATTTATAAAAAGACATATGTTTTTTATACGTATAAATCATAGCTGATACTTATTATATGCATTAATTTAAAGAAATCTTGCACAAACTGAAACTTTTTATCTTTAAAATAAGTAGTATATTTTTTTAGGATCTGCAGATGCTTTTAATGACATTAAACTTCTGTTTGGTTACTAGACATTGTTTTGGGATGTAAAGATTGGAACATGTTGATTTGTATAAATTGCAACAATCTAAGATTTCATTTATAAAATATAATTTATTTGTGTATGTTTGCTGTTGAACAAAATAAAATAAAATTTATGCTTTTCTATTTTGACTTGTAGGGCACAGAAATTTGGAATCCTGAAACTTCAAATCTGTTGCAAGTAATAGTTTCTATCCAAGGTATGCGTGGATTTTATTTATAATTTTTAATGTTTAAAATTTTGTTGTTTTAAAATTTGTTGGTTATGTATTAGTAGCCAGAATTATACTAAATGTAAATAATTACGTATAATTTGTGAATAAGTATTTGTTTTCGTGTTGCAGTCAAGTTGGTAAACTTTGAATCAAAGCTTAGAAGAATAACAAGCCATTTTTTCCCTAATTTTGATAATTATTTATTATTTTTGATAAATTATATATTGATATGCCGGTACAAGCCCAGAATGGATAAACTTGAATACAGTGGATGAAGTTTATTTTCTCATGAACTGTCCTATATTTATAACATGTTGGATTTAATTTTTGTCCATGAAGTGTTAATTTCTTTCTTTAATGCATATTTAAATCCTGTGATTTTTGAAGCATTCAAATTAACTCTTTATTACCTTAATTGTGTTTCTTGACCATCATCATCATTTAGTCTATACTAATTTTGTTAAGCTCCTGTAGCGATAAATTGTCAAGAATTATACAGTTGCTGTCAGATTTATTCCATGTTCAATTCATAGCTGAAATGGATAGGCTAAAAGATGTTAAAAGTGAATTTAAGAAGATATGCAGCTTAGAAAAGCATAATTTTTCAAGCAGTAAGAATATATAAAAACTTCTTTCTTGTAGAAATGTAATCCTTAATTAGAAGTATTTGAACTTCTTTCCATAATTAATTTAGCAGATAGAAAAGATACAAAATGCCAAAACGAAATTATTAGCCCTCCTGGACTTATGCACTTTGGGGAGTAATAATTCTTTTCTAGTGATTTTAAACGAAAATGATACTTTAAATTATAAGTTGATTACACACTGCCTTGCAAATCATGGGGATATCAACAGTTTATCTTCAGATTTGAATTGTCTGTAATTAAGATGTGAAAGTGAACTTTTATTATAGAAGTTTGCTAACTCTCCTAGTTTTTATCAGGAGAGTTAGTTCCTGTTTTTCATCTTGTTTCATTCTATTTTAGTTCCTGTTTTTCATCACATATCATATTTTTTAATATTTATATCCTGATTTTGTTGTTACCAAAGTTTTATCCTTTTATCTATGAAACTACTAAATGAACTTGAATGGCACATGCAATGAGTCATGTAATTTTTTCACCCATTCGAGGTAGTGTGTGAAGAAAGGAGCAAAGCCAAGCTCTTGATCAGTAATACCAGATCCATATCATTGCTTAAGTCAGCATGAAGGGAACTTAAACTTAACCAATTTGATGTGAAGAGATTGTTCTTTATATTAATGTATGAAATTTAATTAGTTGTTAACTAATATATTGTATTATTTGGCAGTTTAATAAATATGGCACGGTATCATTAGAGCTGGGCGGGAAGTAAAATCGGTAGCGAGAAACTTTCGTTAAAACCCGGTATTTGTGAAAATATAATAATAATAATAAAACGTAGATTTTTCAAAATGGAAAAAGGGCTAGGATTGACTAAGTGAAAAAATGATGATTCAAAGGTAATGTATCCAGGACACTCTACTAGCATTAAGAATACTGAAATGAAAAGAAAAATTGTTTATAGAAAATATAATGGAAGTTATTTATCATATGGGTTTACTTGGAATGGAGATCCAATGGACCCTCAACCTCACTGTTCAGTTTGCAGTGAACTATTATCCAATCAAAACATTTGTTTTTTAAGAAAGGCATCTGGAATCTAAGCATACCAATTTAAAGGATAAATCAGAAGAATATTTTAAGAGTAAATTATCGGAATTTAAAAATAGTAAACAAATAATGAAAAATTTTGTTACTTCAAGTGAAAAAGCTTTGAAAGCTAGTTACCTAGTAAGCCTAAGAATTGCTAAGACTGGGCAGGCTTCTATTGGAAAAGACCTTATATTACCAGCAGCTAAAGATATCATTTTAACATTATTCAACATTATTTTAACATTATTAAGTATTCAAAAAGCGGCTAATACTTAATAATATTCTGTTATTAAATGGTACAGTAAGTCGGCGAATTCATGAAATGGCAAATACCATAAAATAGACACTTATTCAAAAAATAAAATACAGTTGAGATAGTACTCATATAACAAACTTTGTTCAATTATTACTTTGCATACATATTGAAAAAGACAAAACGAATTGCCGAAAAGTATTTATTTTGTGAATCTCTTCATGAGAGAAACTGCAAATGGAATTTTGAAAGTAATTGTGAATTTTATGTCTGAAAATGTTATTCCTTGGAATAAGTGCGTAGCCATATGCAGTGACAGAGCTCAGGGTTTAATAGGAAAACATTCTGTTGTTATTTCTGAAATAAATATAGTCGAACCTCAAACCAAATTTCCTCACTGCTCCATTTATCATACAGCTTTAGTAGCTTTTAGAAATCCTTTTCTATCAAGCTGTGAAAGTTATTAATTTTAATTAAAAGCCGAGCTTTAAATTAAAAAATATTTACGATTTTATGTCAAGAGATGGACAGTGAACATGAAACGCTTTTGTTACCTATCAAAGTAATGTGGCTATCCAGAAATAAAGTTTTAAATCGCCTTTTTGAACTTTGATAAGAAATTCAGATTTTCCTCTGTGATTCAAAATTGAATTGCAAAATTGTTTATTTAATGAATTATGGTTGGCGTGTTTAGCATATATAGCTGATATTTTTTAGAAGTTAAATGAATTAAATTTAGAATTACAAGGACAAAGTGTTAAAATTTGTTTACCATTACAGATAAAATAAATGCAATGATAAAAAAACTCGAGCTTATAATCAAAGAATTGGATAATATTATTTTAAGCATTTTACCACTTTTAGAAAGCTTTCTAACAGAGAATAATTTGAAAATAAAAGGAGAATTAGCATCCGAATCATTGTTTTCTATTGATAAATAATTTCAGCATATATTATCCCAAGAATTGTGAATAAGAAAATTGTATTAGAAACTCATTTTGTTCAAATGTACCTGAAATTTTATCTAGTTAAGGGAAAAAAAAAAAAAAATAATAATTGTTAGAAATTTTCTGTGATAGAAATCTAACTGAAAATTTCTAAAATAACACATGTCTTTTCTTTTGGCTGAGCAGAAAAAAGGAATTTAAAAGCATTTCAAATAAACTATTAAATTTTTATTGACTTTTTGTACAACCTGTCTGTGTGAACAAGGATTTTCTTACATGTTATATTTGAAAAACAAATACAGAACAAAATTAAAAGTGGGTTTTTGTGGTTAAAACTAAGTGAAGACTAGAGATAAAGAAATTATCTCTCTTAAACAAGTCCAAATTTTACTCTAAATTTTAGAATTAAAGTATTATAACTTAAATTTTGATAATTAAAATGATAACCAATTTTTAACCGAATATTTTTTATTGTGTGCATATTTAATATAATAAGTCAATAGGTTCTGCAATTGGCAAAAAAGATTGTTTTAAATATTTTTATTGAGAAAAATTGAAAAATAGTAATTGCACAATGTGGTGGTGCTACTGCGGTACAGTTTTCATTTTTTGTTTAGATGGTACGCATTAGACAAAAAGTTGAGAACCGCGGCTCTAGATCTCTGGTTTTCAACTTGTATAATTCTATTCTCTCTATAGAGTATCATCTCTCTTCCAAAATTCAATATTTGGTTGCAACCCACATATGTGAAACTAAAATGTTTCAGAAACCTTTCAGTATCTTCCAGCATATTATAAAAGCATATTTAGTAATTAAATAATTGGAAATTTTCAATAAAAATTTTAATATAATGGGAAGATATGCAATAATTTGATTTATTATATTTAATAATTATTTTAAATGTAAAGTAGCTTCTGTTTAATAATTATAAATGCTTCTGTTGATTTTGCTGTGCTTATATGATACTTGAATCTAACTTTTAAGGTCATGTGATTTCAACTATGCTTCAAGTATTCCTTGTTGTGAGTCCCCTCTCCTAGTTTCAATCTGCCACTCTGAGGTTGAAGAATTCCTGTGTTAGATTCTGAAATGCCCTATCAGTCAGGAGTCCTTGCTCCAGTCTACACACTTCTGATTACATAAAATCACTTTTACACATGTAAAATTTTCTGTCTATGCAAATGCACATTACTGAGGCTGTGACCACGTTTCATTGAAGCTGAAATTTGTTTTTTTACCTCTGAAAAAGAAAATTTGGTACTTGCATATTACTTTGTTAACTGTCAAACTTTTACACATTTGTTTGATGTGATTCTGACTGATTTTCAATAAGCCTTTTTTTTTTTTCCTTTCTTTTATGAAGAAGAATATAAATTAACTGTAATTGCTGCATTTATTCCTTCCATTTTTAAAACCATGAGCTGAGGGCTGTAGATATACATTTGGGAATATGTTTGGTTTAATTAGTACATCTTTTCAAGAGAATTAGCATGTTAAATAAAAAAAAAAAAAAAAAAGCTACTATGTCCAACAAAACTAAAAGAATGGAACAATCACGTGCAATAAGTTTCTATTTATAGCAATCTAAATAGAATTTCTGGTAAAATTGGAGGCTTAACAAAATAATAGAAATTGACAGAAAGCTTTTTTGTAAAGTACAGAAACGAAGTGGGTCAAATACTTCCATAACAATGTCTATTTCATGATTTTGTTGAGAAATTGAGAGATTTATTGCAAGAAGTGCAGATAGGAGTGTGGCTTAGAATTCTGCAGGTATGATTAGCTCAACTTGGGCAAAATCATTGCCAACTTTTTTGTAGTATGTATGTACCTGAGATTTTAATGATTAAGCTTAAGAAAAGATGAAGATTAAATATCTTCATCAAATGATATCCGATGAAGATATTTAATGATTAAGATTTCAGCATAGTATAAAAATACCTGAGATTTTAATATGCATTATAAAAGCTGGCGTAAGAAGTAAAATCAAAATACACTTTTGATTCAACTACGCCAAGCCTTTTTTATTCCAAACCCCTATTCACCAAAGTTTACTGAATCATTGGATGATCTGAAGGTTATTTTTATCAGTTTTAAGAGGCTAAAACAATTGTATAATTGAAATAATAATAGAAGATGCCATATGCTTTAAACATATCTTGTTGAAAGTTGACAATTTACTTCTGTATAAAAAATAATGAGGGATGTGAATACAGAACCAATTTCTTCAGATGTACAAATAAATAAGAATATGAGGGCTTTAAAATAATTTTTCAGGGAATATTTTTGATTATGCATACCTTTTTTTTTTTTTTTTTTTTTTTTTTGCAAGTTAATTTGAAGAGGAAAAAATGGAAGAAGGAAAAGAATAAAACTGCCATTCTTTATTGTTAGCATTCAGTACATCATTAATCCTCAAAATATATGTAGTTGTGTATGTGTGTTACACATCTATAAAGGAGATTCCCCATGCTCAACTGAGTAAGATAAATAACAGCAACTTTTCAAATTACATACCAAACCAGGGAGCTGATTGCGTTTTCTCCTTGCATTTACATTTTTCTCACAAAACCTGCGAGTTTAAGTAACTGCATATGCTTGCTAAACTAGATATTTTTAATTGGTATTTAAATATGTAATATATTTTTTACCACATAACAGTTTTTGTTCTGTCAGTTTTAATAACTAAAAAAAATAAATAAATAAATAAAATAAAAAAGAGCAAAAAGTATGTATTTTGGATAATTTCTGTATTTAATTACATAAAAAATTTTAAATTTTAGGTTTAATATTGGTCTCTGAACCTTATTATAATGAAGCTGGTTATGAGAGACAAAAGGGAACCCAACAAGGCAGGGAAAATAGTCGTATGTACAATGAAATGGTTGTCTTAAAGTTAGTCCAGGTATAAACATTTAAAATGTATAATAATATTTTTTTGTGTTCATGTATGCACGTATATGATTAAATGATTGTAATTTTTGTTTTTAGGCCATGACAAAACTCCTTGTAAATCCTCCTGAAGTTTTCAAAAGTGAAATTGTTGAACATTTTAAGACGCAAGCTTCAAAGTAAATATATTCAACATACTTCAAATTTTAAATTTTGTAATTTTTTGTTTTAATCATAAATCTTTCTACATGCATTTTACAATAAAATTTATAATATTTTGATTCTTTGTGTTTCATCTTTTGAGTGACAAAAATATGTTTTTAATAAGTGTCAGTGGCATAGCTAGGGTGGGGCAAGGGGGGGACATCTGTCCCCGGGCGCAGCATTCAGAGGGCGGCAAATTGATGTTACGAAATTTTAGAATGAAATGTTTTCCGTTTTTGGCACAGAGAAAGGGGCGCAAAATCTTCAGTTGTCCCCGGGCACTGAAAATCCTAGCTACGCCTCTGATAAGTGTATAATTTTGTTCCCATTATTTCTCAAGTTGTAACTGTATCTAAATGTTTACAGATAGGTTGGATAAATTCAATTAAATGAAACTGAAAGAAAAGGAGTATGAATTAAAATTTTGCTAATAGTGGTTTTAATGCAACTTAGATTCAAAAAGAAGAATATACAGTGAGTACTCAGAGTCCATCGCCAAAAAGTAATTGAGAAATTTGTGTGTTATGTGATGAGAGCAGAAAAAAGAATTGGTGAAAAATGTGTTATCTTTGCCATGTAAAATTTTAAGTGAATACTTGTACCCTTTCTAATCTATTGACTCAGTTATAAAAATGTTTTTAAATTTATAGAAGAATTATTATAGCTAAATGAATTATATGTGATTTTATCACTGTTAATAACATACTACTCTAGGTTTCTGTAGTTTGGGGATAATGCACAATCTGAGAAAGAAAATACCATATCACGAAATTGTGATATGATTGGAAATAGACCGGTCTTTATGCACAGATAATCAAGCACTTGATAGAGGTGCACAGTGATAAGATGCATCAATAAGCATCAACAAGACATCGGTAAGATATTGTAGTCCCAGTTTGGGCAATACATTATTAAATATGCTGTTGCATTGAACCAGTGAGTGTCTGAATCCTGTCTATGATATTATGTATTGCGTTTTTGATGTGATCCTAGATTTTATCTTTGTTTCTGGAGGAGGGGAGATATTTAATTAATGTTCAATCATGTTCGATAAATGCTCAGTTAGTAATAGTTGAGGAGATTCAGTTGGCCAAGGCAGTGATAGCAGACCTTGCAAGTTATTCAGGGTAAGCCAAGCAGTTGTGTGGGCAGGTGTTATGTTATTGAAAAATGACATTTAGGATCCTTGATGATACAGAGATAAGATGCAGCACATCATCGTAGTGGTATCCTTTTAACTATCACTACTAAAGTGAAGAATCTGCTACGCTCGGCACAGAGATTGTTCCTCCTAAACATTTTCCGAGGGTACAAAGCATCGCCTGCTGCTAATGCACTAAACATGATTTCAAGACTGCTGCCTCTGTATCTGTTAGTTCAGTGCGAGAGTGTAATAGATTGTGCACTTGACTTAAAGAGACAACAAGTTTGTGGGATAGGACTTATGTATATACTGACTATGAGTAAAGGATTTCTGAGTCATCTTGTTACCTGTCTGAATTCAGTATTTGAATTAATTGTAAGTTGCTGGTGTGGCTGAAAGCCACTGTAGTCTACACTGATGGGTCAAAAGGAGAATGTGACTTTGGCAGCTGATATTGTATACTACATGGAAGCCAAATCATAAAGACCTGGGAAAGAAAGCTCAGGGAGGACAACTCAGTTTTTCAGGATGAGTTGGTTGCATAAAAAGCTGCACTTGCATATGCATTGGGTAAAAACTATTCCAATATTTATACAGACTCTTTCTCTAGCCTTCAGGTAATCCAAAGTACAAAATGTAAAAATTCACTTGTCAGTTTCATGTAGAAACTCCTAATATACCAGAAAAGGTAGGCCCAAACTCCAGTGGGTACCTGCCCACACAGGAATACTGGATAACAAAATTGCAGATGCATCAGCCAAGAGAGCAGTGACTGAGCCCCATATATGGACACTTGATGTGCCTCTTCTTGGCTCATTCATTCTTAAAAGCCAAAAGAGAATTACTGAAGTGATGGCAATATCTGTGGAAACAGAGAATACTGGAAGAAGAGTCTACAGATTTTTCAACAAGTAGGCCAGCTTCTAAGAAGTGGCTTTCCTTGCTTTTCTGTTTCTAATAGGACATGGGCCTTTCATGTCTAATCTGCATCACTTCAGATGACATGAAAATGACCAGCGTTCATGCAGGCAGCAGGAGGTCCACATCATTATGTGTTTGTTTGCAGAGAGATTGCAGCATATTTGGTGTACCACTAATATGAATTTAAAGAAAAATCTTAAATCAGACCTTAAAAACAATATATTAATACGCAAAAATGATATTCGACTTTCAAATCCATGTAATTCTAATTTTGATTTGTTAATATAATTTTCGAAACATTTCGAAAAGCAACATGCCTTTATGCAAATTCAGGCCATGCCCCTGATTCTGAGTAACAATTAAAACACTATTAACATGTCACTGATACACATATTTTGTTCACATTGAAAATTTATATGAAAAGTACAAAAAATATTACCTTCTTCTACAGAAAGCTTCACATTTCCATGTCACTGAAAAGGAACTTCACGAAAAGCAAGAAGTAACAGGCAAATGCAAAGCAATATCAATAAACTGAAAGTGTTATGCTGCCAATTTTCAGTTATTGTAAACATAATAATCATTGCTTACTTAGCATTGGCACCATCGATCAACAGTTACACAAATCAAAAACAGAACTTCCAGTGATGCAAATATAAACAAGAATGCAGATGGTTCTCATAAAAATCCATCAAGTTGCATATTGTCATGGAGCAAAACTGTGTTTTATTAATCTAAATGCATAAGTATAATTCAAAAGAAAGAGAATTCCCTTTGAGCTTATGATAATAGCAGCTATCCATGGAGCTAATCCACTTTCAATGTGCTATGACCGCAAAGTAGCAAAAAAGTCACTAATCGAAGGAATCACTAAAAGAGTGCTAAAATAAAAACATATATCCATATTCCATATAGGTTTGTTACTGTATTTTTAAAGGAATCATCAGAAAATTAAATAATGTCCCAATTCTGCGACATCAAAAAGTTTTCACCGACCACTGGTTTGCGCACCTCTGCCTTAGACAACCAGCAATGCAGCATATCCAGCAGGGCTAAGTACTTAAAAAATCGTACTCAATGTATCAGATCGCCCATATATCGCAGCAGTTTGGAGAACTTCAGCGCATCCTCATCCACAGCACAGACCTTATATATTCTGTACTTTCATGTAATGTCTCTTATTTAAGTTAAAATTTTTTCTGTTCTGCTTTTTTTTTTTTTTTTTTTTTTTTTTTTGCTTGCTTATATTTTTCTCATGAGTTTATAATTTTTTTAAAAATATGCCTGTGTTTATGTATGCATATATTATCTTTTAATTAATACCACATACTTTGATTTAACCCTTAAATAATTGTGTTTATGCGTTCATTAATGGATTATTTTATATTTTTGTATGAGTAACTGTGTTAAATATTCATAGGCACACTCAATGTACTATAAAGCTGACTGTACCAAGTATATCCATGTAACTTGGTCATACTTTTACCTGTATTGTAATTATCTACAGAACTTGTTAACTCTTCATGTTGTAGAAGCCCATTAATAGTATTTAAGTTGCATCTATCCATCTTTAGGTTTGCATCTGTGGACACTGATATTGTTCTACTTACTCGCATCACATCCTTCTTCCATCCCTGAAACACTGACTTGCCAAAGACCTCATTTTGCAAGAAACACATCAGTATTTTATGGACTTTTGAAAAGGACATTACGTCTTTGCCAGGCATAGGCCTATAACTCCATAGCTTAGTTCCATAAATTAATTAATTCCATCAGTGGGGCCCCCTGCCCAATATGCTAGCACCAGTGTGGATCGACTGCCCTGTCACCGTGGAAAGAAAGTGGCATTCTTTTAAAGTATCTGTAATGCATAATGCATGCTAGTGATGAAAGGCTATTGGTACAAATGGTACCATAAATTAGAATTTCACTGCTGATGGGCTGTGTGCCACTCAAAATTGACAGATACCTCTGCCTTTTGGCTCCATCCCATCCACATCCTTATATACCCATCATCATTTGTGAGAAGTTTGATTTGTTGCTGAAGACTAGACTTGTCCCATTCATTCCTCCCTTCAACTCTTCTGCTACTTCTTTGCAAGGTTTGCTGTTAATGGAAACCTTCATAAAAGGTGGCTAAAAGACCAAAAGCTTCATCAGCCTGCCACATTAATATTAGAACAGTAGAAACATCTTTTACACTTTACACCGTGTTTTTATTTGTGTAACCCAGGGTCAGGTATAGTGTGAAGCTACAATATGCCACAATCACTGTACTCTAATATCCATCTGCTTGGATTCCCAATATGTTTGGATTCCCAATGGCACTAATAATTTCCTTCCTAAGTTGTCAAGTCTATTATTGTCAAATCAGAACAGTTATACCATCAACCTGCTTTTCTCCACAATACAGCAGAAAGACCAACCAGCAGTATCGAGTCTAATATAAAGGGTCTGTTTGTTGATACTATGTGATGTATTAACCTTCCTAGTGGGCCAAGGATTTGATTTGAACCCCTGTAGTTTGCCAAAATGCCATTAGTTGGTGATGTTTTCTTGAGTATTATTCAAAAATACTACCCTCTCCCCCAGTTTGTACCTTGATTCCTTTTCTTCTAATAAATATACAGCTTGAATTGTCTGGGCACATTTCAAGATGCATATCAGCATACTTAATGCTAGAATGTGAGATTTTTAGTCATGTGTCATTCTGGTGGATTTAAATAAAATTAAGACTGCAATATATTTAAAGAGTTTTTTAAAAACAATGGTTCATTATTTTCAGTGTTACAGCAGAAGTCCAGAAATCTGCAAAGCTTGGGACCAGAAGTTGTGCGGATTTTAGGATTTTGCGGATTTCAGGACAGAAAAGATAAATCATAATATTCAGACTAAAAATAAATAAATAAGCCTATAGTAAGTAATTAAATATTATCTACATTATTGCATAATTATTATATACGTTAAATTATTATTGCATATAAATGATTATTATTCATGTTTATTATACAGCATTGGGTTTGCCAATTTCATGCAAAGATTTAGTTTGGATTCTGGTGTTAGAACAGCTGCTGAAAATTCCACAGCTTTTCTTATTTTATAGTATTCATACACAATTCCACACGATTCTGCATAACCGATTCTGCTTAAATGCCCTGTCTCCATCTTTTGCGAATTGTACTTTTGCAATACCATCAATGCCACTGTTTACGTTTTAACGTTGCAAGCAGTAAAATCATGAGTGCATTTCTTACCTGTAATTGCATAAAAAAATGGATTAAATTTAAAATATTCTTAATTTATCCACAAAATATACGGATTAAAAAAAGGCAGCACTAATCTCGTGAAATAACAAAGCTCGGAAAATACAACAATGTGAATTCTTGAACTTGAAGGAAGAGTTAAGTGAATCGTCTGCTTTCTTACCTCTTTGCAGATTAGAGGGGAAAAAACTTTTATCATGATGTGAATAATTTGGTATTTCCGTTATGACTCATTATTATTCGGTAATTATGACGTCATTATTCGGTAAGTATTTTTTCTTCAATATTTCGAACTCAATGTTTCCCGAACCTATAAACCGAATGTTTATATTTTGAGAGGCAACGCGGATTTTAGGTCAGCGGATTTTCGGTGTTTGACTGTATTAGGATTATTAACATTAAAATAGAATACATTTGGATATAATATATTGTTCGAAGAATTTGTCTTTGGAACAAGATATGCAAAGAAAAATGGGGGGTTACTGTGGCAAGGAATATGTGAGATATTCCAGAGTTCACATTAATTTACTTTATCTGTTGCAATCACTACTCTTGCCACGGGATCTACATTAGAGTATTAGGCCTTATACATTTAAAGAAGACATGAGATTTATGTGAAAGTTTTATTGTTGCTTTTTTTTTTTTTTAGTCCAAAGAGATTTGAATCCCGAAGGACTATTAGTTTCGTTTTGGCATTTTGCTTCGGACTCATAAATGTCAGTTCACTTTTCAAACTGTTGCCACAAAATGTTAGAGTCCTGCATTATATTTGAAGAAATTAAATAATGAAAAATCTGCATAAATGTATGTATATTTCTCGTATTGTGATAAAACAACGGTACATAGAGTCATCGAATTTTGAATAACGTAATCCTCCAACGAATATGAGCATGTGGAAGACCAAATTTGAAATTTGAAATTTGTGTTTTATGATCGATTTCCTATTTTTTAAAACTTTGACGAATTTTTGATTAACAAACTCAAGGATTTCAAAGCGAGCAATGGCAACGTTGTGCAGAAAAAACATTTTTATCTCCAGCGCGTGAGTCTCTGTATCGGAAATTCTAAAGATATGCTCGTTTTAAAAACTATTTTGCGATATTGCTGTTGCACTGGATCTTATGGTTTAAGTGCGAGGAACATGATATTTAATAAAGAAAGGTAACACACAAAATGTTAAAAAAAACGCCCCTTTGGACGTAATTTAAAATCTGAAACATTTCAGATTTTTTTTTTTTTTTTTTTTTTTTTTTTTTGTGTGTGTGTTGTGTGTGTGTGTGAAAGTTCCCTATGGAAGGCAAAACAATATTATAACACAATTTCCTTAAAGCAGAAATAAAAAAAAAATGTATGTCACAAATAATCATTAAGTGCATAAAAGTTGCAAATTTAAATGCATTTCTTCAAGATACCTCTAAGGAAAATTTATAAGGGCTCATTTTGACAACAATAGACAAGACACCTGTGGATATTCTGTTGAGAGATATTCTTGTGGTAGGCAGACTGTGGCAAGGTTACTGCATATGGTGAAATTTGGAAGGAGTGCCTTTGATGCTAGTGTTCCAACAAAAATAAAATTACTTTCATCTTTCTCACCAACATGTGTTCTAGTCAATTGCTCATAAGTTAATATGTCACAACAGTAACAATTTTTAATATTTTAAAGATCTTTTTAGTGTGACACCAAAGTTATCTTTTATTTATTTTCATTAATTATTCAGCTTCTTCTGGAATGATTGGCACAACAAGTTTGGTGGCATCTCCACTTTCATGGTCAATGGCATATTATAATTGAATATGGTGTTTTAATTTCTTGTGTTAGATCCTACAAAATACATTGGATCTTATGTATGAAATGTATTTTTTTTTAAATCTTATATAATTTAAAATGGAGGCTTTTTATATTCAAGTTAAAGAAATAAAATTACTGTTTTTTATAGTTTTAGAGTGAAAATTTCTTCCTCCATTCATATGGCTTTTCTACCATGAATTGCATTTGGTATACACTCAAAATATCTGGAAATTTCACACATCCAGAATGCAACATTTCTCCAGCATTCCAGATAATAGAGCTTTTACTGTATATGTCTATAGGATGTCATCCCTTTCAACTTCTTTGTTTTTAAAGTTTCCACGTTAGAAGTATTCTACGATATTAAATTCCTTTCAGTTGTCTTTTTCATTTATAGTGGTACCTCTATATAAGTCATTAATCTGTTCCAGATCCTTGGATGTATATCAGATTGGATATGTACTAAAAAACTTTTCCAATAAGAAATAAAGGGGAAATAAGTAATTCTTTCTTATATAAAAATCCTATTATTATTATAACACTGTTTAATATTAAAATGCAAATGCAGTTGATTGAAATACTGTATATAAATGTATGATACTTTGCGAAGTCTGTGGTTTGTTTGAATGTTGCTTGCAGTTTACGAAGAAAAAAAAAAAAAAACACTGTGAAACTTATATTAAATATTAATTTTTCGATATATAGAATTATTATTTACAAAATTATATGTACAGTTAAGGACCAAGGTGCACGTTCCTATACAATGCAATTTTGGCATACATTCGTAGGTGTACACATGCAGCTGTTGTGCAGTTACTTCTCTATAAATGTTTTCTGGTGTCTAGATCAAAAGCAGTTTTTTAACATGCTATGATCTTTGTTTATCAATTAATTTCACCCCCTGTGCAAGCATTTTTGTTTTTCACAACTGTAGACACCATATTGCTTGGCTTATGGTATAGAATAGCCAAGTCCCAGATACACATTTCATTTTCGTACTTTTCAGTAATTCCTTTTTTTCATTTTCATTGTAATCCTAACAATTTCTTCTTCTTTTTTTTTTTTCTCCTGGTTCTTATTAACTTTCTTAAAATTCATTGTTAATGAATTTATGAAAAATACAGTCAAAAGTCTTTAATCCAGACTCGTCGGGACTTCCGCGACTCCGGATTATCGGTTTTTCCGAATTACAGATCATCAATTTAAATCTGGTAAGATGGCATGCAGAAATTATAAAATAAAATATATGAAACCGTAATTTATGAAATAAAGAGCAATTATGATCTAAAGTGTATCAAAATTTACAAAAAACAAGCTTAATATTTATTTGTTTACTTTATTAAACATGTCTTTCAACATGCGCATGCATAAAGCATAAATTACGCATAGTCGGAATTAGAAAATTGCAAAACTATTTGATGTGTATTTGTGATATTTATAATGACGAGGAATTTGATTTAAACATATCAAAGATGGAGTACATCGAGATGGAATACTACATTTAGTAAGGAATTATAAGCCGAATAAAATAAAAACATCTGCCCTGAAGATGAGGATAGTGCTGACAGATCAACTTCTAGTTCATTGCGTGCCGTGCCCCCCCCCCCCAGAGCAGCGTGAAATTGATAAACAGATTTCGGAATGGTTAGAGAAACAAATCGCCTCTCTGTCACTTTCTTCATGCCTTTATTCATTTTTTGCAGCAATTCCACTTTTTGTTTAGTGGACATCGAAACATGCTTTCGCTTTGTAGATCCTTTGGCAGCTCCACAATTTGAAACTCTTTTTAACATAATCGAAAGTTCAAGCTTACTTTTTATAAAATTGCTCTAACAGTCTGCAAAAAATAATAAGCCGGATCCAATTAGAAGATTAAGGAACAACGCAATCTGCAACATTAACTGAAATACTGAATGAAATGTTATCAGAGTGATGATTCTAGATTTAATAGATTTACAATAAATTTTTCCCTCTTTTTATAATTGAATAAAGATTTGTATGAGTGAATATATATATAAGATAAAGCTAGGAAGAGGCATAGAACTTCACTAGATTGAGCCCATGAATAAAGAGGTAGCTCTATAAATAAATTAAAAACAATCAAAATAATGGTAGTTGTCTTTCTAGCATTAAAAGATTTTATGCCTGATATTTTTAACACACACATTACAGTTTGGCTGCTTAGTGGTGTAAAGCCATTGCCTTGTCTTCTTTGTTCCCTACACCTGCAAACAGAAAAAGGTCACTTATATAACTAAATTTATACATTGTTTGGATGCTTATATTCCACATTCTAAGAATCTTTATTAGCTTGTAAATTCAGCCATGACTTGGTGGTGGGAACTGTTACAGAAATTCGCATGACAGTGCTTTTGCATCTTCATGGTATGACATATTCTCTGTCAAGCAGTATACATTAAATAAATCTTGTAATTGCAACTTTTTTGTTATTATTATATTTGCTTTTTCTGACATCAGTTTTCTTCAGCACTATTTGCTTTTCATTTCAGGTTAATCCAGAGACTTGAGAAATGGCTTGCAGTGTCAGAGTCTTGGAATTCAGAACATCCATCTTCACCTACCTCACCTACAACTTTCAAAGAATTACATGGCAACTGTAAGTTTAAAATTCAAATATATTTACTTTTATTTATTTTATGCCAAGAAGAGGCAAAATAAAATATATATATATGCATAAGCAAATTTTGATGGCAAATTAACTCATTACCTACATGACTTAGCTCAACTAATGTGAAATAACATGAGATTTTCAAAATTCATTCATTTCAAGATAATCATGCTTTTGTTTCAAGTGTGAATTATCATAGCCAAAATGAGAATTAATGACATTGTGAGGAGTTTTAAGAATTAATAAATGCCAGGTTTCATATGTGAGGCACAATAAATTTTAGTGTCTTTAGTATAGTTTTCTGTGTTTATTAAGCAGGACAAGAGTATTAGCCATTCATTTATATTTATACATAAATTTTTCTAGTTTACCCCATTATAAATAAATGTTTAGCATGAATATATATTTTCTATTTATCAACTTACAAATAAGAATCTTAATAAAAATGATATTTACAAATTTTTCTATTGACTGTGAAAATAGGCTTTTCAACTTGTGCCAGTAATTCTAGCAGAAGTTTAGTGTAACAGATTACTTAGACTAAATAATCGCAGATTGCATTTTATTTAATTAAATAATAAACAGATACAAATTATAGATTTAACTTATAAAGCTTTTATAAAAATTGAGCTCAAGCTTTGAAATTATCTAAGAAATACATTCATTAAAACATACATCATCATTTCTGTGAGCCCAGAATCTGTAATAAAAATAGCTATCATCCTCATAAACTCAGTGCAGTACAAAGTCTGTAATTCAGACATCCATTATCCGGAATGATCTATAATCCGGGACCTCAAAGCCACAAACTTACGCATGCGCTTTTAATGCGCGTGTCCGCTACACATGCACATAAAGTGTTTACCCATGTGCATATCCGATAGTGAAGAAAGTGACAGAGAGGTTATTGAAAAGGAAAAAATTTCGATTGACAAGTTAGTCGGTATTCTTGGCACAGCAATTACAGGGCTTAAACAGTGGAACTTTGTAACTGAACAAGAAATTATGTCTGTTTATAGAACTAATAAGAAAGTATTAGCACAAAAAAAATGAAGCAACTTAGACAACTTACATTGAAAGAAATGTTTAATAAAGTAAACAAATAAATAATAAGCTTTTTTTTTTTGTAAATTTTGATACCCTTTAGATCATAATTGCCCTTTATTTCATAAATTATGGTTTCATATTGCAACTTAAACAACTTATATTGAAATGTTTAATAAAGTAAACAAATAAATATTAAGCTTTTGTTTTTGTAAATTTTGATACCCCTTAGATTATAATTGCCCTTTATTTTATAAATTACAGTTTCATATTTTTAATTGTATAATTTCTGCATGCCATCTTACCAGATTTAAATTGATGATCTATAATCCATAAAAACCCCTAATCCTGAATCGCCGAAGTCCCGATGAGTCGGGATTACGGACTTTGTACTGTACTGCAAAAAATTCCTGCAATAGGAATACAATTGGCTTCATGCACCTGCATGGTGTTTTATTGCGGCATTTTCCCGAACTCCAGGCTTCCAGTTTTTGAGTATGCACACCAGTATAATCAGTCTTGTAACTTTTGAAAATATTACACTGCTTATTTTCTGCCAAAGGCAGGTAGTAAAATTTAATCCTTTTTCTCCCTCATACACAGAAATGGCAGTTAATGTAAAGGGTGTCCCCAAATTCAAATGTACCAATTTTGAACAACCGATTAAAAACAATTTGGACTTTCCTTATCCTTCTTTATGATGTAAGTAAACTGAGTTACTTAGGTCCAGAGTAAAGCCAAAGGGAAGCTCTTATGATGTGCTGTGACATCATATATTTCCATTGTTGGCTCTAACTTCCACAGTCTGAAAACATCTTGTGTTTTTCAAAAACGGTCAGCAAAAAAGTTTGTATCATAGCATTTTCTTTTCTTTTTTTGATATTTAGACTTCATCTTTGTTGTATAGAAACAAACTTCATTGTATTTTTGATATTTAGACTAGGTCTCTGCTAGCTTTTAATGTATCTGATTTCAGTTTGGATGTATATTGGAAGAAAAGGAATCAAGGTACAAAATGAAAGAGTCATTTTTTAATTAAAATCAAGAAAATATCACTTATTCATGACATTTTGAGGAACTTTGAAATTTCAAAGCTAAACCCTTAATGCTCAGAGGGTTAATAGAAACACATATTCAGATTATTTATTTCTTTGGATTTTCTGTTAAATGAATATATATAAATCTATTGTTATTCATTTTATCTAAATTTGTAGGATTGAATGTTTTCAGTTAGTGCTAATGGCCTTGTGAGCTAATAATAAGAGCAATGATTGCTGCTCTTCCCGCCTTCACTTTTTTCTTTAGAATATTGTAGCCTTACAGAAAGAATTTTATATAGAATTTTCCATTAGAATATGGGCAGGCAATATCTCTTGTACAGATTCAAAAGCTGGAAAAGGAAAACAGTAAGGATTTATAGTCGAATCTGGTTAATTGGACCAACCACTTTTTCGGACCAAATCCTAAAGAACTGAAACAAATCCTATGTACATAACCCTAATATTATTCGCTTATTTGGACCAAAATTCTGTTTAATTAGACCAAAAAACGTGAGAGTGAATAAGAAACAGAAGCCACAAGTCGACCGCGTACAATGGACATACAGGTGGTCTGCGACATATGGGAGGATCTGCAGTTGCGGCTCCCCAGGAAAATGCTTTATTAAAGGTCAGGAATTCCTTAAAGTGCATGACAAAAGCAAAACCTGTGGGAGGTGAACACGCGTACCATTTTCTTTGACCTTTCTTGACCTGCACCTCCGAGTTTCCAGGAAATGAACAATAGAGTGTCCGGCTCCAACTGAAAGGAATTCTCACCTGTCAACCACAAGAAAGCTATCATTTCATCACCTTTTCGGGATGATTTTAGTGCCAAAGATTTGAATGGCAAGCATTTTATCTCCCTCTTGACCTCAACATCTTGCACCCGAAACACCAAGATTTTTTCAGACCACTTTAATAAGTGAACTGTGCACGTGTCTTGTCTCCCCTGCTAAAATGCCATTACGGGACTTGACGTTAGCTGAAAAAATTAGTTTCCTGGATAAGATCAAGCAACAACCATGAAACACTAGTCAGCATCAGTTGATGGAAATAACTGGATTGGCAAAGACTACAATTTCGTGCTTGATAAAACAAGAGAATGAGCTGCGAGAAGAATGGGCACAATGTGAAGGATGGGGGGAACTTCCAAAAAACGGAAGCGTGAAGGCAAGGACCCAGATGTCGATGAGGCCCATTGTTACTGGACGTTTTGTTACTTTTGCCATTGTTACTGGACGTTTGTAACAATGGCAAAGGTTTGCCATTGTTACTGGACGATCTGTGTGAGTAAGTGGCCCAATGTTAAAATGCAAAGCAGAAGAACTTGCTAAAAAGCTGGGCCACGCTGACTTAAAAGCTATGGACGGTTGGTTGTCTCGATGGAAATCTAGACATGACATAAAATTTAAGAAAGCACATGATGAGAAAGAAAATGCTGAAGAATGGAAATCAACAAAACTGCCCAAGCTTCTTGAAATTTTTCAGCAGATGACATCTACAATGCTGATGAGACTGGGCTGTATTATCCTGCTACACCAGACGGCTCGTTAAGTTACAAACATGTTGCACTCTCTGGCTCCAAAAAAGCGATGGATCGCGTAATAGTCTTGTGCTGCTCGAACATGTCAGGAACGGACAAGAGGAGCAGTTGGTTATAGGAAAAAGCACTAATCCTCGCTGCTTTAAAGGACTTAAAATGGATGGAGAGTTTACCAGTTGTGTATCGTGCAAACAGAAATGCGTGGATGACCTTTGAACTTCTTAAAGAATGGCTGAAGGATTGGGACAGAGAGCTACAACACCAGTTGAGAAAAGTGCTGCTTCTTCTTGACAATTGTGCAGCACATCCTCATTTAGATTGCTTGATGAATGTACAACTGGAATTTCCACCTCCCAGGACCACAGCTTTGGTCCAGCCAATGGATGGGCATCATAAAAAATTTGAAGACCCTTTATCGTGCAAGGTTGGTTAATTACATCCTTGAAGCAATTGAAGAAAGTTTGCTGATCTTATCGTCAAAAGCCAGAGAAGTCAGTGCAAAGGTCAACATCTTGCAAGCAGTTACATTTGTGGCCAATAGCTGGTGAAAAGTGAGCAGTGAGACAATTCAGAATTGTTTTTCTCACTGTGGCTTTAGCACTTGGTTTTGGAGATGGATGTGGACATGCTCATTGAAAGTGAAAATGATGATTTACATGTGGAACTTCAACAGGTATAAAATTGCAAATAATTTTTATCCATTGACAACGAGCTTCAATGCTACGATGAAAATGAAGATTACGATGCTGCAATCGTTGTTCGAGCTGCAGCAAAACACATGACAGAATCGGAAGACCAAGAAAGTGATGTTGATGATGCCGCTAATGAGTTGGTGCAAGTGACAACACAGGATGCAAGGAAATGCATTGAAACTTTCTCTTGGTATTTCATGCAGCAGAGAAATGAAGGCAGTCCCATTGCTGCATTCGATATTTGTGGCGATTTCGTTCACGTGCAATCCGTCAAGGGAACGCGTCAGATCACATTCGATAAGTTCTTCAAATGTTGACTGGTACTTGGTAAGGAACATTTTTTATTGTGCTTCGCATGTTGAGTATCATGGAGATTGTTTCTTAGAATTTGTTTCTAAATTAGTTTTCTCAATAAAAAAAGTTCGACTATATTTCTTGTTTGTACATGCATGTTTGCCATACATGTGTACCGCACCATAAAGTTCGTAATTACATTTTAGTACATGATTTACATGTGCATTTACTGTTTGCTACATATAGCATGTCTTGTCTTACAACATAGGACATGTTCGTGTAATCGGACCAGCCGTTATTAGGACCAAAACGATCATTTCTCGATGTGGTCTGATTAACCGTAATTGACTGTATTTGAAATGGTAGCTAGTCACC